AAACTCATCTAGCGGATGCCCATAAGTCGAAACACTTTCCTATAGCTCTCCAATACTTGTTCCTCGAGTGACACTTATCTGTCGTGATAGGTGATCGGCAAGGGTTAGGCAAAACTTTCCTTATCTTCCAGTAAACCCGATAAGCCCCTATAAGTGGCCGCACTCATAGGATCGACTTCCAACTGTTTGGTTTCCAAAATCAAAACAAATCTGCTTTGGTGTCTATACCCGTCGACCTTTGCGACTTGTGAACACAAGGCTCATCCCAAATATATAACTTCTTCGAATCTTTTTTATTTTATTTATCGACCAGCAAAGATTTCTCTTGATACTTTGATTGCGGCGGAATTGGGCTCTCCTTGGTGTGAGTGATAAGTTAACTAATCGGCGGCTATTATTGTTGAAAATGACATATCGGGAATTAGATTGCTTTATAATGACAACACTTCCATCACTCACAAAAGTGGAGTCCGCGTGAATAAAACTTAAAAATAGTTCGAATAATAACACTCCTCGATTGTTTAGCATTGTCTGTCAATTGATTATCTTCCACTAGCGAAAAACCCAAAAGATTATTTTAGCTAAAATTAGTGGCTTACTCGATCGTTAGATCGTGACTCAGTCGACCGAACATTCACTTGGCAACAAAATTGAAAACTTAGAAATGCATATAATTATAAATAATTGACATCACGTTTTTATCACGCTGCTTTTCAAGTGTTTTTAGTTATTTTTGAATTGAGTTTTTTCATACCTCTTAGTAAGTTAAGAATATTAAAAAAGGCATTATTGTTATAGTTTATTAGATATTCAAAAAAAAACTTCAAAAGTAATAAAATTAAAATGTAAATACTGATTATTCAACAAATATTGGCATTGAACAATCTCAAAACTATTGCAAAAAAAATATTCAAAATCTTACATGAATATATACCTGATAAGACCATTTGTTAACTACATAAAAAGCTATAAATATTGATTATTTAATAAACAATAACATGAGATATTAACAAAGAACATGTAAGACTGCCATCGAAGCTGTTATCTCCCTTTTTCGACTGCTAATAATATGCGGTTGACTTGGCTGGCCAAGGAAAACACACACAAAAAGATGAAATCATAAATCCAAACAACTACATCCTGGCTTGATTGAAAGGTAAATACTGCATAAATGGACAGGAGCCGCAGCGGAGAGATGGGTGGTGGCCGCACCGCAGACAAAGGGATCTGGATTCGGGCTTCCGAGCTGGCTTTATAGCCACCTGCTGGGACCACCTGTTTAGATATGCTCCGGACAAAAGATCCGGAATCGAGACAAAGAGCATAGCGACGTGGAAAATAATCACTGATAAAATAAGAGCATAAAGGACCAACATAAAAAGGGGTGGCTGAATGGGTACTACAACTGGGACTGGAGAAGGAAGGGTGAGTGTGAGTTGGCACTGGTTGGGGGTGGATGGAATGAAAAGAAAAATTTCCGCATTATCCCGCGGATTCATGTTAATAGGGCTCATTTAACGCTGCCTGCTTTGAGTGATCCCCGAAAGACTTTCAATACCAATAAAGCCATAAAAATCACTTCACCGCTTCCCTTTCCTTTCCATACCCTTCTGATAAAAAAAACATATCGGTGAGCAAAACAAGGTACTCGTTCTGGTTTCGGAACACGGTTTCGGTTTCATGTACTCCTCCAGCGTTATCAATTGGTACATTCGGTGTGGTTGTTTGCACCTGAGTACAGAGTAACCAGTGCCTTGTAACATAGAGCGAACAGAGTGTCAACAAAATGTGTTGCCTTCTCAATGGGCGAATCTTGTACCAGACTCCGATAACCACTGGAGGAGCACGGAACACGGCCCAAAGAAGAAGATACAGATACAGGCGAATGGAAATAGAAAACGCTAAGAATGCCTACCTTGCGTATTTATAGATACCCAGATACCCAGATACTTAGATACTGCGCCGAGAAGCCTTATCAACATTCAAGGTATCGACTGAAATGCCGTTCAAATATTTACACCCCGGCAGCACAGAGCACAGAGATTTTCGCCTCATACCCCGCCAGCACCGCAGCTACTGCTCCGGAGTCCGGAGTCCAGAGCGGATGATAAGCGGGAGCGGACATGGGCGCGCTAATTGCGGAATGATAAAAGCAAAAAGTAGCTAACCGTTTCCCCGGAATGCCCCTTACGTTTCCATCTGCCCCGGGGGCAACAGCACACAAATGTTCCATCAACTCGGTTGCCATTGCCAGGATTTTTGAATTTGGTTAAAAATTAAAGCGGCCTCAAAGAATAAGATTATTTGTTAGATGAACGTTAAAATACCCTTTTAAAAAGTCTTGAAATATATATAGATTTTAAATTATAATAAACTAAACTATTTAAGGCTTCTAGAATGCAATATATCTTTAAGAATAATATAGAACTTATAAGGATGTGAAATTTTTTGGAATTGGAATTGCTCATGTCCCTGTTAAAAACTGTTAAAAATCTTTAAAAATATATGTATGTATGTATTTATTTAAAAAAAATCCCTAAGATATTTTTACTCTTCCCAATTTCTTATTTTATTCTTGTATTATTTTACATTTCTCCGCCTTCTATAAAACTAAGAAACCCTGAAGCGCTTTTAGAGTTTCATGAAAATCATAAAACTCTCTTCAAGGGTATGGGAATTAAATAAAAATAAGAATTCGTATCTCTGTACACTTTGTTATTGCCAGCATTTTCGCCTTGTATTTGCCTAAACCGGCCCCTAAGGAATACCATGGAGCTCCTGAACCCCAACACGTTGCTAGACAGACCTTCGGCATCGAGGATACAAATATGGATGCGCTGCCTTGGTCCTTCCTCTCCGGCTTGTTGGCAGCTTCGAGCATATTACATAAAATAAGAAAAATTATGATTTCCACGGTACAGAGAGGGAAGCAGAATTTCGGGGTAGTTCCGGGGGAGACTAGAGGGGGCAGGCTGTTGCTTAACTGTCAAAATCGTGTAATTTAATAAAGTTCGCTGCGGGATATTGTTTTTTATAGAAGCCAGAGCAACATTGAGACAGCTTTTGCCAGCTGCCAAATGGGGAGTGGCTGGAAAATTGTGGAAATTGTGGCTGGCGTTGGGGTTGCCCGGAGAAGGGGCGAAAACGGCACTGCGGCTCCTCAAAGTGTGCTGCACAAATATGAGTATATTCAGTTCACTTCAGTTACAAACAGCACTGCAACAACGCAATGTTGTCTTTTTGGGGGCCGCCACAGGCACTCGGCAAACACACTCGAGGGGGGGGGGGGGAGAAATATCATACTATATAAATAAACATATACATATTCGTCTGTACCTATGAATTTACTTACATATTTACTTGAAAGTAGCGAAAAAAAGTTGTTATTTGCCTTTGGCAAAATAAAATATTTTCGTTGGCCAAATCAAGTGACAAAATTAAAGGACTTGTAACTTAAATTTTTGCAAAATTATTTTTCTTGTATTCCTTAAAAACATTAATAAGAAATCTCCTTAATTTAGGAGTACAAGAAGTTGTAATGGAACTGCAGATAAATATAATTTGTATAATTATATAATATTATAATAGAGCTATATAAAATATGGTCTTTCTATCTGTCACTAAAGGTAAATGCAAGGTTTAACATATACCTGATTTAAGTTAAGAGAGAGATTCATAGAATTTAGATGCATAGCATTTTTAGCCTAAAAACAACAGTTGTTATTTAATCCTTTAAATTTAATTTTCAAAATTATATAACATTTAAAATGTTTTCTTAACCCAAAAAAAAAGTTATATTACCTCAAGTTCTGGCGACCAATTAAAGTCACGGCATCCACAGAGATGTCTATCCTATTCTCAGCTGACATCCCCGACCATTTTCGTACTGTTTATTTTTTAGCAAGTGGAATTCCTATTTTATTTTATTAAGCAGCGAAGAAATATAAAAGTAAACAGTTGACTGCAAAAACACACATAAGTATGGCTGTTGTGTACATCCCCCACATTCCCCCAGGAGAGTGGAAAGCAAAGGAGAGAAAACAAAAAGAAACCCACGCCCACACATTTCCAGCGTCATATGAACGCCCCATTATTTACTTAACATAACTTGAACATTCGCCTTCAACCCCCCCGATAAAAAAGAGCCCTCCAAGGGGAGCACCAAGCGTAGCCAAAAAAACACACACACCGAAGGAAAAATAAAGAACCCCCGGAAATGTGGGGGGGGGGGCGGTGAAAAAGTGGGGGATTGTGTAGGTAAAGTAATGTGGGTGGTGAGGTGGTCGCTTGGCTTACCTGCCAGCCGGCAGTTGGCTAGTCAAAAAGCTGTCGTCGATGCTAAGCGCAGACCCAGAATGCCATGAAATATGCAGGAGAAGAAGGAGGCGGATGAGGATGGGGAAAATGTACAAAGCCCAACCCCACGTTTTCACTCAGAGTCCGGAAAAATGGCGAAAAAATGATTTATGTGAACGCCACGAAAGGAAGGGAAACAGCCAACAATAACCCGGGAAAAATAACAAAATCAACTGATTTCTCAACTTGGCTCTGGACCAGCAGCCTTTGTTTGCCAGACCTGCGCGCGGGCTTAAGCCCACAATTTTACCTTCCCTTCAGGACTTTTCTGCCTCTTCTGTTTTTTTTTTCAAGCAATGAAAAATGCTGAAAGCGTGCTCAACAGACAGCGGACTCCAATGGTATTGGGGTCACCGAAAAGGCATAAGATATTGATGTCCCCAGAGGAGAAGGCCTTCTCTGGGCCTGGGTCTGAGCCTTCGCCTTAGAACCCAAAAGGAAGGCGGGACTCATTCTTCCAGAATGTGAATACGACATAAATGCTCAACGGGAAATGCTCATTCCGAAAAAAAAGTACTGGAAAAAGCATACTAAACAAGTTTCTTGAGTTAGGAGCATAGAAACTAGAGAGGTTTCTCATAGGATTAGATTTATTATTGATTTTGATCCGTTTTAAGTTTTCATTATAGTAGCCTTGCCAATAAAGTCTGCTACCTTTTCTATTTCAAGCCTAGTCTTCTTAGCATTAAACTTATTTCGGACTGACTTTCAATTTCAAAATATATTTAAGGTAAGCAAATAATTTCAAATCTTTTTCACTGTTCAGAACTAATCATTTCTGCTCAGATGTCAGATATCAACTTGGTTGCCTATAACGTCTTCCGACGCGATCTGGCCAAAATCTTTAGGACTTTCAATTCCTCTACGCAAACCGATTTTACTGACGACATTGGAACCAGCACTGAATTTGATTTGAAGTCTTCTTCGGAAATAACTCTTTCTAAACTTTACGACCTAGAACTGGATTAGTAAGTTTCCCACAATGGAAGCGTCTCCGGAAGGAAACGGAAACCCCGAGGAAAAACCCAATCCAAATCATAAGAAAGGAGAAAACCAGAAAAAGAATAATTCGCAAACCGAAACCAATTCCCAAGACAACACAAATATATCCGGGGATTCGGTTCAGGAGATCCAGGAACACTCAAGTGAGACCTTGGAATCAAGGGATTCAAGAACAAGATCCATAGGAACCACTGGCAGTGCCCATCTCTCGACAGTGGAGTCTCAGACTTCTGGATTCACCACCGAGAGCAATTACCCGACCGCCTTTGGATACGAACCTCTAACTTCAGGCAGCAGCAGCTCTTTTGGCAGCATTCAGACCCTTTACGGACCACCTCCCACAAATTTTCTGCGCGAGGTTCACGTGGAAGTTAACCCCTCTTCGTCTGGAGAGGAGATCCAGTCCGTTCGCCGGGACTTGCAAGAATTGCTGGCCAATGCCATGTTCCATATCGGAGGATGGAACAATCAAGCCATCTATATTATTGCCTATAACTACATGTAGTCGGTTCGAAGGATATTCAAAATTTCCAGTGACCATATTGAGAGAACTCGAATGCTTGATTTTAAAACACACGGTAATAAGCAATAAATACTTCAAGATTTATCAATAAAAACCCTCTTGTAGTTTGAGGGAGTCTATATGCATATACTATTAATTTTTAAGCAACTTAAATAAATTTACGAATATTAATGGAGTATTACAAAAAAACGGAGTATTTTTTAACTTTTTAACCATTTTTTTTTTATTAATTTGTGACATTTGTCTTCATAAAAAATTATTAAAATTTCACCGACCTATGACATTTTGATATGATATTATGTAAATATTTATAGAATCTTCAAAGGGATTTTTGGACCTTCCTAAAGTTATATGACTGGAGGGAACTTAATAACTTTCCTCAGTCATTTCAATGAACAATCAGTTCTCGAGTGAAGTGAAGTGTTTGCTCTTCCTGCGTGATCTGCGCCTGTTGACATTATGACAAATTACATAAGCTAAAGGCAACAATTGCCGAACCCCATTCCCACTGCCGATCCGGATCCGGATACAGGGGAAGGAAGGAAAGAAGGAAGGAAACAACAAACCAAAAACGGATACGCTTAAGCTAGCATGGAGTGGGCAAATGGGGTGGTTCGGGCTTGTAGGCCCGTTAATAGGAAAGCCACACAAGGACTGCTAACGAAGGACACGCGGCCAGCACGGCGGTTGAGCGGCAAGTGCGCCGGGAATGGGTCGGGGAGGACGAGTTCTTTTGGGTCGACTGTTTGCTCAGCGCTAAGTGCACCGGGTCCGTGGGCAAGTGGAAATGATAAATATATTTACACAATTTTTGACAGGCGAACGGGTGAAACAAAACACCCGTGGGTGCAGCCCTCAGCCCCCCCCTACCAACCCCTTTCCGCACGCACTTGAAGCAGTCGAAAAGAAAACCAAACCCAAACTCGATAAATATGTTTATGTGCAAATAACAAAATATTTGTCGATTGCCCAAAACGAGGCGCTGGAAGGGGTGGGACTTTGGCTTCGGGGCAAGGCAGGGCAGGATCTGCCAGGACGAAGACAGAGGGAAAAGGGAGAGGAAGCACCGCAAGCGCATAATTCAATTTTTCTGCTCGTTTTTGCACGTCGCCCGGCACACGTCACCCGAGTCCGCTGGGACATCGAGCTGCCACGCTACACCAGCCCAAACCTCGCCTGCTTGCACTGAGAACCGAATTCCGAATAAAACTAGAGAATTGTCATAAGTACACTGGGAAAAACATTATGTTTTTACAAAATAAAAATTAAAAAATAAAATACAATATCTTATTTGACAAGGTCAGGAGTCAGTAAAGTCTACTTTTAGTTTTAAAGAGTATGTAAAAATAGAGATTTTAAGAGAGGTTTCTAAATCTTTTATATAGCATTTATAATTTTTATATATTCATAAGTAATTTAATTAAATTTTAATTTAATTTATATATTTTTGAAGTTCTTTTTCTCAATTTTATTTAGTAACAATCTTTTCTAGTTATCAATTTTTCTCCAAGTCCACACGCACTTTACCAGAAATGCAGCGCATATTAGTGACACGTGGCGAAGGCGCTCCGAGAGTCCCAGCACATGCGGTTTCGGGCACGGACCTCCGTGTCTCCAACTCCGTTTCCGTCATTTATTTGTTTGTAATTACGCGTGCTCAAAAACTAAATCCCGCCGCACTTGAGTCCCCGGGTAATGGACAAATCAGCTGAGCCTGCTCTTTTCAATGCCACAACTCGACATCGACTCTGGGATTTTGTACTTTGGACAGCGGACTCCGAGCACGTGCATCGTACCGCCTCTTCTGGTTGAGGGTATTCCCAATGCATTAGCAACAATGCCGGCGACATTCGGAGTTTGTCAACAGTTTCGCCTTCGGATTTGGTTACGGCTTTTGTCATCGTCAGCGGCGCGTGTCTCCGTCCGAGATGTCATCTTCTCCACAAGACTACAATCCGCAGTCAGTTGTCAACTTTCTGGACTGGCTTTTAGTCCGGGGATTCTCGATTGATTTAGCGAGGGATTTTCGAGTGGGGATACACGAGCATGTGTGTGTGGGGGGCGGTCGGAGGACATGAAACGAAATCATAAATGTGACATGCCGGGATCTCCCTTGGTCGGTTTCAAGCAGTTCCGACAAACGAAATCCCTTTGACCAACCGAAAAACCCAGCACTAATAAATCATCCTCCTTACAAAGTTGTTCAGCATATTTTCTTGCAGAAAACTTTCTTCGGTAGTTTTCAAGTTATATATTATCGTCCCTTTGGACCATACATTTCAAGCGAGTGCATAAAAAAGGAGAGCGGGAAACCAAGAAGCCGCCACATTGAGCCCTCCTAAAAGGGCATTCGAAATGAGCTCCTCGGAGATGTTAAGATATGAAGATGGTGGCGGGCCACCGGGAAAGCTTTCGTATTTAATTGAAAAACACTTAAGCTGCCGGAAACGAGAATGGAAATGCTAAAGCCAGGCCGACCGCAAGAGCCTTACATGAACCCTACAACCTCAACCCATCTTCATCGCATGACCTTTTTGCGGTTCATAAAAACAAAGAGCGAGCGGAAAACAAAAACTTTGCATAATTAAAGCGCGGCCCACAGAGAGAAAAAAGGTCAAAACTAAAATGTGACAACCCAAAAAGCAACAAAAGTGACATATTTCTCCTCTTCTTCCCACTCTTTTAAAAAGGTTTTTTCCAAATGATGATGGAGAATTCTTAAGACTTTCATCAGAGCCACAGAAATTGTGTTTAATTTTAAATTAAAATAGTCTTCAAAATATTTTAAATATATAAAAATGTTCTAAATTCACCTTCAAACTAAGACTTGTTATGGCCTTTTTTTCTCACTGCAGTAAAACTCTTAGACAAAAGCTCCGTTGGACAAGGCTGAATCAAAGATGGCATGACTTGGCCACTTACCCTCGAGCGCCCGGTTCCTGGAAATTAAGGCGAGCACCAGTTCGGGATTTGGGTCATCCTGGTCGACAGCCAGGTGATTGTGGTGCGGAAGCTGCCCACCACCGACCAGGTGCGATGCCTGCGGCGTGGGCGGCAATTGTTGCTGCTGCTGCTGCTGCTGCTGATGGATATGCGGCGGATGTGGCTGATGATTATCCATGACTGTCAGGTGCTGTTGCTGCTGCGGATGTTGCACCTGCGGATGCTGCTGATGTTGATGTGGCTGCTGCGGATGCTGGTGCTGGTGCTGTAGTTGGTGGTGATGATGTAGTGGCGGCGGTGGTTTCAGGGTTTGCATCATTGCTAAGGGGCCGTTGGTTTGTACACGCGGCGTATGAGTTATATTTGTTTTAGCCTTTTATATTAGCCCTAAAAGAGAGCAGAAACCGTGTTTCTTGGTTAGTTTTCCGCACTCGCGTCCCGTTAGCCGTTAAACGAGCCGGAGACGCTAGTCGGGATCGCTGTCTGCTCGATAACTGGCATTGGCTCGTGCTCAACGGCGGAACCCGCTGAATGTTTCTCCTTATCGCGACGGTTTCTTGGGGCTTTCGTTTTTTTTCTATTCGGTTTGGTTCGTTGGATCGTTGGATCGCTAGCTCATTCGGCTGCTCTATATCAGTTAAAGTAGCCAGGGACTTGAGCCATTTGAATCTGTTTGCGACACGGGGGACACCAAGAGAGTCAGCTGAGCTTTATGTAAGTCGGGGGTATATGCTAACTGATCAATGGAAGTATTTATAGTATGATGAGCGCATATTTATTCATCGTCTAATTATAGAAATATTTTGTGGTTTTTTTTATTAAAAATCAATATAAAAATAAATAGCAAAGTTGCTTCATGTTTCTTTATGTTTTTTTTTATAAGGATTTTGGTTGCAATAAGGAATTTAAAAAAAGATATAGTTCAAATTAATTTCACATTCAAGTATGCACAAATATTTACGTTTATAAATTTACTTTACTGCTTTTATACTTTGTGTTTCTAAACAACATTTACAAAACATTTCTGTAAGAATATCTGCTTGCTTTGAAATTGCTGATTACCAAGCATTGTTATAATCCATATTGCTATTTTATGTAAATAATAATGTTATCTTAGGTTTTAGCATGCTTTAAATACAAATTTCTGAATTAAAGCCATTTGTATTTCATTTTAAACATATTCAATATTGATATTCATTTGCCAATCCTTGCAAATACCCTTTAATTTATTGTGTTATCAATGTAGCTGACATTTCTACCCAGTTCAAAATATTAATAATAATAAAAAATAATTTTTACACAGAACGGCAGAGTCGAACGGCACTGAAACGCGCTGCACTTTCAATACTCAATATTAGTATTTCAATAAAAATTAATTCGTTTTCGTTGGCTTTGCTTTTATCTAGATTTCGTTTCGGTTGCACACGAACCCGTACGCGATTTTATGCGAACGCCATTTTAGCGACGGCAATTACAACGGAAATGACGACGGCAAATGCGAGCGAACGACAAAATGGCGACGGCATGGCTAACGGAAGCGACGAGCGACGAAAGGCCAACGGCTAACGGTACCAGTACCAGCGACAACACAGGGCATGGCCACACTGGCAGGCGGCTGACAGTGGTTTCCCGCTGCGTTGTTTGCTGTTTGTTGTTGCTGGGCCTGGATTCTTCTATTTGCCGCGCTGCATCTTTATTTATTTTCTTCGTCGCCGTGTGTTTTCTTTCGTTTACTTTTTTTTTGCGCACTTTTTGACGCTTTTGTTGCCGCCGCTGCCGTTGGACTATGAGCTTTTTACGATACTTTTTACGCCGCGCTTGCCTTTTCGCTGGCCATATGGGTGTTCTATGACCGTGTGGGTATTTGTCTGGGCGTTTGTGTGTGTGTGTGCTGATGGCAGCCTGTGTGCGTGTGTTTACCAATTGATCTTAATGTGACACAAATGATATGGTAAAATGCATACAGCCAGCCCTGAATGGCAGGACAACAATGGCAACAAGGCGACAACGCCAGCAGCGACAGCAGAGACGACATTTTTATGCTTGTTTTTTTGGCCATGCGCATATCTTTCCATACATTCCCCCCCACAACCCGAAAATTCCATGAGCATTACAATATTTGTAAAACGTAAAAACTTTGCCCCGAAAAATGGGAACTTTTCTGTTTCCCTCTGCCTCAAGAATTTCAAGCTGCAAAACTGCACACGGAGAAGGAAAAAAGATAGAAAGATAGAACAGAGGAACAAGAACAAAAAGCCAACCAACGTCGAGCGACACCTTCGTGGCCCCAAAACAACAGTAAACAGCACTTAAAAGTCGGCTGCGACGCCGGCAGTGACTGCAGCGCCGACAGAGGCGAACAAATATGAGAAACTTAACTCAAAAATCCAAGTCAATACGCGCGGTCATCAAAAAAGCAGGCGGGCAGAGAGAGGGGCAGCAACAGCAACAACGCCTTTGGCTTTCCAGGGGAAAACAAGCGCCGCCCCTTTATATTGAAAACATTGGAAATCGTTGATAGAGACAGCAACAACAACGTGTCCGTGGTCCGGGCATGCGCAGGCAGTGCCCGTTATCTTATCGCCCCAGCCTGTCGCCATTAAAGTGGGTGGGTGACATCTATTTCTAGGGTTCAAATCGTTCCAGCGCCGACGCAGTGCCTCCTCACACAGGCACACACACGAACGAGAAAAGCCCACCCGGACACGAGTCACCCTGTGTCCATGCGTTCGCTGTATCTGCATATAGGGTGGTGTCGTCGTCTGTGTCTGTCTGAAGCTCTCAGACCTCGGTTTATCTATAGTACACACCCCCCACATACATACATACATACAACCCATGGCAAAACCCCTTAAATGCGTTGCGTCTGCAAAAACGATTTTGTTTTCGCATTTATTTATGAGCCGCTTAGAGCGCGCCAAATACTTTGCCAAACACTTTGAACCCCGAGATCCCCAACCCCGTTTCATCCGGGAACCGAAAACGGAACCCATTCCCCATGGCGCATACACACCCCACCGCCAAAAAAGAAGTGGTCACTAGAAGAAGGTCGTTTATGGGTTGGGTTTTCCGAGGGAAGGACGGAGTGGCAGCGCGAACAGCTGGATTGCATGGGTCGCTTGATAAGTTTGTCGATTTTTTGAAACACATAATAATAAATAAAAATTATAATATAAAGAATAAATCAATATAATAGAAAGCTCCTATAAACTATTTATTAATCATTGAAACATTGAAGTGAATAGAACGAAATTTATGATAATTATTTAGTCGAAAACCTTTTAAATTTATTCTTTGACTTTTGCTCCCAATATATTTATAAGAATTATTTAATCGTAAAAGTCAAACAGGCTCCTACTACAGGGTAACCAAAGCTGCCTTACCTCCCCTTCCCAGAGAAGTTAAAATTCACCTAATAAAATAAGTCATAATCTATTTGAACGGAGAGTTACAACCAAAACATACCCATTAATAAATATGATATTTTATATGCTTTAACAATATTTCAAGAATCCATTTAAGATGTTAGTTATTGTTTTATAGATATAACCTTCTTCCAAATTATATACAGAGTATCCTTATCTTTCATCAGCTTTCAGTGACTTAAAATTTAGAGTTTGCCTCAGGTTCCTTTGACGATATGCAATGACCAACAACACAAAAACATTATACCCTTGAACCCCCAAGTACCACGTTATAAAAAATATATAAAATTGGGCCATGCCGTTAGTCAGCATCGTGACCCTGAAACGCATCTGGAATGGGGAATGGCTGATGAAATGCACCCAACGAATGCAGATACAATCCAATCCGAATGCGATCGCTCCGCAGAGCTGCACTTCCGCGGTTACAAAATCGACTTTGACTTTCAAATTGTGTCAGCGCTTTGTTGTGGCCATCTAATGTGGCCGTTAATAGTTAACCACATCAAGTATTTTGCCAAATGAGCCCGACCTGGGGCACTTAACTGCCGATGACGCGACGATATGGAACCGGATTGACAGTAAGTAAGGGACAAGTAAGGGAATTAGTAAGCAGGGCGATAAAATGAATAGTTTTAGTTCCATGATGGCCAATGTTTGGACAACATTTGACAATTAACAGGCAGTTTATTTAAATTTTCTTCTTCGACATTTCTCAGCTCAGTGGCGTCTCGCACGATGTCGATGTCGTCGTTCAGTCGGTAGTAGTTATATAAACATAAATCTCGGCAATGGGCCACTCACAGACCAAAAGACAAAAAACTTGCTGCCACTGCACATTTTCACACATAGCCGGATTTTTGTTGCTATTGCTGTTGTTTTCCCCCCAAGACGTATTTTCGGGGGGCCTACGCGACGTCGTGAGATTCGGGGCTCATTGAGGCTTGGTTAAATCGCAGCTAGCTCATTTGTAGATTCGATTGTCAGCGGTGAACAAGTGCGGAACCCACCGAGAGCGGCTAACTATCAAAAATCCCTGACTAAAAATAGTGTGTAGTAGACTTTGATTAACCAGGATCGTCCATTTTGCCATGGACTTTGACGAGTTTCGCGAGTTCGGTCACGCCTCGATTGAGTTTATCATCAACTACCTGAGCAGCATTCGTGAGAGGTGTGTGTGTGGCGAGGATAAAATGATAATTTAAGCCTTGAGTCTTTAGCCTGACTCCCTGTCAATTTTTATAGAAATGTCCTGCCCAACGCCGTTCCCTATGCGGTGGTCAATCAATTGCCCAAGGAGATTCCCGAACAGCCGGAACACTGGCGGGAAGTGCTCAAGGATCTGGAGAGCATTATCCTGCCGGGTTTGACTCACTGGCAGTCGCCCTACTTCAATGCCTTCTACCCATCATCCTCCTCGGCGGGATCCATTATTGGTGAATTATTGATTGCGGGCATCGGAGTCCTGGGATTCAGTTGGGTAAGTTAAAAACAAAATCTGTTTATTATCAAAACTCTCATACAGCAGAATTACACAAATATGGGTTAAAGGATACCTATGTGTCTTATAACATCAAATACACCAAATAGTTATAATAGTATTATCAACTTTAAAGTACATTTAAACCTAACAGAAGATTAAGTCTTAAGTTGAGTTGAAAGATAAAAGCCCAAAAAGATTGTGATCTTTTCTTCCGTTAAGTAATCCAACAATATAATGATATATGTAAGAATGAATGAAACTCTATAATTATGGTTCATTAGCAGTCCATTTAAAATCGTTTTTACAACAAGAACTCGCCTTCCCAATAACGATCTACCTGATTGGTTGATTGAACCGATATGAATGTTAAGTAAATAATGAAAGCGTTTGTTAAGAGAGAAAGCTTTACAAAAGACTGAGAAAGCTTAGAGTTAAGAGCGAAAACCTAAGCACAACTGAGGGAATAGTTTCTTCCTTGGTAACACGATCGATCGATGGGCGATCGATGCGTTGGATAAGAAATACTTATCGATCGAACTTACCTCCTAGAACAGAGATAAGAACAATTAATGATGATTAAGAAAATTGCCAAGTAATTGTTTTCTTTAATCATATAAATAGCCGGTGTTATACGATCATCATAAAACTAAACAAGCTTCCAATTCGTTCCCTAATCTCAGCGATTCTCGGAGCGACCCAATGAGGGGGTAATCAGAGATGTTTGTTTGTTAAAGGGAGAAAATATTATAATGTTATAGACTCTAAAGTTAAATTTATAATTCTGTAGTAGCAAAAATCAATAGAACTTATTTTATTCTTACTATTTAATTAGAAATATGCCAAGCTGAAATTTGGAATAATAATAAGAAAGATTTTCGAGCCGTATATTGTAATCTCCTGCCAAATATTCTGTAGAATCATAATATATTATATTTTATACAAGACCCATAACTATATTTGACGGGAAAAACAGCTAGCATGCCAGCACTGGAGGCTGACCAGAGGAGTCGTCCGACTATAAAAAGCCGGTCACCATCGCCGATCGGTTTCAGAGTGAACTTCAGGCTACGCAGAGAAGAGTCAACGGAGCGATTGGAAATCGAACTGGACAAATAAATAAACCGAAAGCGGAGAAATAAAGCGAAAACAAACAGAACGTAAAAAGTGCAAATAGAAACGGCTTTCGAGGCAGTGTGTCAGCGAAATGGATGCCAAGGAGTTTCGGGAATTTGGCAAGGCGGCAATTGATTTTGTGGCCGACTATCTAGAGAATATCCGTGACAATGAAGTACTGCCCTCCGTGGAGCCGGGATACCTCCTGGACCTGCTGCCCAACCAAATGCCCGAACAGGGGGAGTCATGGAAAACGGTCCTCAGCGACATCGATCGCGTGATCAAGCCAGGCATTACCCACTGGCAGTCGCCGCAAATGCATGCCTATTACCCCACCAGCACCTCCTATCCCTCCATAGTGGGTGAGATGCTGGCCAGCGGGTTCGGCATCATTGGATTCAGCTGGGTATGTTGTCACCTGTCCCCCCCATGTATCTGGCGGTGAAATCTGGCCGCTGACTGCTGATCCATTGTTTTGGCCAGCTGAATGGGCCATTGTCCCATTGTAAGCGTTGGGTGAAAGTGAAACCAAGAACTCGACAAACAGGTTGCGATGCAGGCACCTTCATAAGAGTTTTCCATACAAGAAATCGCGAGTTTACACCCCATATTATTTTGCCGGAACAGAGATTACCATAATTAATTCTTTTGTGCGGCAATCAAATCTTAACAATGCACATTTATTGTATAAGCTATCGATTGGGGTTCAAGATACAAATAATTGAGTTGTTAATGGCTTATTATTAGGGGAAAACGTCTTTAGATTTATATACAAATAATATTGCAAAAAGGGATATTTAACTATTGATTATCACAAAGTAACATTCTCTTTAGCTTAAAATACTTTTCAAAATCTAAAAAGGCATCTCACCATTCCCTCCTTCGCAGATCTGCAGTCCTGCATGCACAGAACTGGAAGTGGTGGTCATGGATTGGCTGGCCAAATTCTTGAAGCTGCCAGAGCACTTCCTGCATGCCAGCGAGGGTCCCGGTGGCGGTGTAATCCAGGGATCTGCTAGCGAGGCAGTTCTGGTGGCCGTTCTTGCTGCCCGCGAACAGGCGGTGGTTAGCTATAGGGAGTCACATCCGGAATTGAGCGAGAGCGAGGTTCGAGGCCGCCTGGTGGCCTACTCCTCGGATCAGAGCAACAGTTGCATCGAGAAGGCCGGAGTCCTGGCCGCCATGCCTATCAGGCTCCTGCCAGCTGGAGAGGATCTGGTACTTAGGGGAGAGACCCTAAAGAAGGCCATCGAGGAGGATGTGGCATCGGGAAGGATTCCTGTCATCTGCATTGCCACCCTGGGCACCACGGGCACCTGTGCCTACGACGACATCGAGACCTTGTCCACAGTCTGCGAGGAATTCAAGGTATGGCTCCATGTCGATGCCGCCTATGCTGGTGGGGCGTTCGCCCTGGAGGAATGCTCCGATCTCCGAAAGGGTTTGGATCGGGTGGATTCGCTGAACTTCAACCTGCACAAGTTCATGCTGGTGAACTTTGACTGCTCGGCCATGTGGCTGCGGGACGCCAACAAGGTGGTGGACAGCTTCAATGTGGACCGCATTTACCTGAAGCACAAACACGAGGGTCAGTCCCAGATCCCCGACTTCAGGCACTGGCAAATCCCTCTGGGTCGCCGCTTCCGAGCCCTCAAGGTCTGGATCACATTCCGCACTCTGGGAGCCGAGGGCTTGAGGAATCATGTGCGCAAACACATTGAGCTGGCCAAACAATTCGAGGAGCTGGTGACCAAGGACTCTCGCTTCGAGCTGGTGGCTCCTCGAGCCCTGGGCTTGGTCTGCTTCCGCCCAAAGGGTGACAACGAGATAACGGCCCAACTCCTGCACAGGCTCATGGAGCGCAAGAAGATCTACATGGTCAAGGCGGAGCATGCCGGTCGCCAGTTCCTCAGGTTCGTTGTGTGCGGCATGGACTCAAAGCCCTCCGATATTGAGTTTGCCTGGACGGAGATCGAGTCCCAGCTAACGGCCCTGCTGACGGAGCAATCACTGGCCGCTCGCAAGACGGGAAATGTGGCCGATCTGACGCAACATTTTAAAATCCATCTGAACGATCACGAGAAGTCTCAGTGAGATGACCCCTTTACTTGAAATTTAACTTCATATTTATGTTTAGGATGTCCTTAGAGTGCATTGTAGTAGTTAAGATTACCATGTGTTTATAAATAAAAAGTGAAAGAAATATGAATTTTTATTTTCTTTTATTTGATAAAAGACTGGACTGCCTCAATCGCAGATATAAAAGATAAAGAGATAACCAGGTATCTCAGGCCTTTATTAATAAAGTATGCCCAAAAGTATGCAATAAAATATTTTACGAATTTACTTGCTATGCAAAATTGTGCATCTTTTTGTAGAATATTTTTAGGCAGCTTAATGCAAAATTAAGAAATGTGTGTTTTATAGATGTTAGTCTAAACATTATTTAAACATTATTTCCATTTTTTTTATTATTTAATTTACCTTAATTTATTTATTCTAAGTTTTCCAAAAGTCAAATTCACATGCTTTTAAATTTTGCGTTTTAGTGTGGCTGCATCTTCCAGAAATCCCGTTTTGATATATCGATAGCACAGCAAGGTCAATAATCGAAACGTAGTGTGCCGTCTCTAGTGTTCACAAAACAAAACAAACCAAATTCGACAAAATTTTGAAAACACTTTGGATTTCTTAATTCCTCCGTTTACCGCTTGCCATGCAGTGGTAAGTGGCGTTGCATCAACCGGCCGGGCAGCTCGGATGTGCCACAATGCGCCACCTACTGAATTCTCCTCTCGTTACCAGCAGTTATAAACTAGCCACCAAACGCAGTTTATACAATGCAACTGTGCTCCAGGCGGACTCCGGCGCCCATGTATACAGCCCGGATCTGGAAGCAGCGCGGCAAAGTGCCCGGATAGTGGTCATAGGGGCCGGAATATCCGGTCTCTCTGCCGCCCAGCACCTGCTGTCGCATGGATTCCGACGCACCATCGTCTTGGAGGCTACCGAGCGTTACGGCGGCAGAATTAACTCCCAGCGATTCGGCGACACCTTCTGCGAGCTGGGTGCCAAGTGGGTGAAAATCGACGGGTCGCAGGATTCTATGTACGAGCTGTTGCGCAACACCGAGGGTCTAGGCAAGCAGATAAAGCAGCCCGAGCGGCCCACCTACGTCCACATGGAGCAGGATGGAGGCCAAGCCATTAAGCCAGCCATAGCCGAACTCATCGACACCCTGTTCCGGCAGCTATGTCGCGGCTTTAAGGTCTCGGACCGAGTTAAACGCGGCGAAGACATGCAGGCCCTAGACAACGTAATGAGCTACTTTAGGGCAGAAAGCAATCGGATAATTGCCGCCACATTCCAGCAACCGGAGGAGCAACAGGCGGCGCGTGAGATCTTTCAGTCGCTATTCAAGGAGTTCGGCAGCGTCCTCGGATGTTGCCTGGAATACGTGAACATTGAGCACATAACCAAGTGTCCAGTGCAGCCGGAAAAGTGCCCCCTATACGTGCCCACAGGACTGGATAACATCGTGGAGGAGCTCACACAACAGCTGGACAAGGAGCAGCTGCAGACGGGCAAGCCTGTGGGACAGATACAGTGGACACCGTCGCAACTCAAGGGCGTGGGCTGCCTGGATGGTAGTCTTTATAATGCGGATCACATTATTTGCACCCTGCCCCTGGGCGTGCTCAAGAGCTTTGCAGGAATACTGTTCCGGCCGACGTTGCCGCTAGACAAAATGCTGGCCATACGCAATCTGGGCTTTGGAAATCCCCTGAAGATCTATCTTTCATACAAGAATCCAATTAAACAGTGGCTCAAGACAAGCCTGCGACCACTAGGGGCACACCCAAGTCGCTCCACTGAACCTCAAGTAGAGCGTAATTGGACGCAACAGGTGGTGGAGATCAGCCAGGTGCCCAACAGCCAGCATGTCCTGGAGGTGCAAGTGGGTGGCGGGTACTACGAGGAAATCGAGAAGCTTTCGGATGACAAGCTGCTGGAACAGATTACCACGTTGCTGAAACGCTGTATAAGCAACCAATTGGTTCCCTATCCCGAAGCCCTACTTCGCTCCAGCTGGAGTACTTCGGCATGCTACCTAGGCGGACGTCCATACTTCTCCACGAACAGCAGTGCACGCGATGTCCAGCGACTGGCGGCACCGCTGGGGGAGCAATCACCGAGCCTGCTCTTTGCCGGGGATGCCACTGCTGTCCAAGGCTTTGGCACTATCGATGCAGCCCGGTCCAGTGGTATTCGAGAAGCGCAACGCATCATCGATTATTACAGGAGCAGCGTACATCTTGAATGGAAATGAATCTCTCAAAATTTACACAAAAATGGTACAAAGAACCTACAAATAGAAACACACTAGTCAAAATTTATAGTTAAAAATTATTGTATATATCTAAGCAGTTAATTCTTTTTTAATTAGGCGTAGCATGTTAACAATAAAAAATAACTTACCTCTCGCGTATATTCTCCATATATTCGGTTATAAAATACACCATTGTCTCGGCAAAATCTTTAAATTCTGGTGCCTCCATGGCAATCTTGAAAGGGTAAACAGCGGGAAATTATTGATTTCTGTATTAATTAGAAATAGCTATGGACATACCGAGACGTTGGGATTCAGTTTATCGTCCACATTGTTAGCTTTGGTGTTATTATTGGGTAATTTGCTCATGTTTTCCTAGACCGAAATTAATTTGCAAGCGACTGAATGCGAACCTTTGGGGGGGATTACAAAACTACAAGTGAAACGTTTGCAGGCACTTTATCAGTATTTATACTGCTCCGACTTAGAACTTTGAGATAATAATCCTAATCAGTCAGTTACGGAGCTCAGATAGTGGTAAACGCCACTTTAGTTTACACTGTGCAAAAACTATTGCAATTTTATGTAAAATTTCACACATTTTATATATGCTGATTTAATTTCTTGACCTAAAAGTTATCTCACCGAAAATGAAATTGATTAGAAATAAATATGTAACGAAATAAGAACTCTCTAGTCGAAATATATATTTATAATATGTTTCATATATTTAAGCATTTATTTTGGTAATTACAAGTAGCATGTTAACAATAAAAACATTAACAACAACATCAATACACATGGAATAGGACACTATAACTATAATGTGGCGATGGAAGACAGGCCTTCCATCTTTTTCTTGCGATTTATGTAAATTCCCTAAACATGTCGCGATTGGTCAAAGGTAATGTGTTCTATTCCGGCTTTAAATATCCAAATTTAAGATTTTAAAATGAAAACGAATTTTATAAAATAGATGGACAAACAATTTCAAGATCAGAGGCAAAACATAATCAACAAGATTTTGAGAGATGAAGGAGCTAATACATTCTTAGCCATGATTTTGGTGATAACTCATTAAATTAAAATATTAAAATAACAATGAATTAATGCTGGTCTGTAAATTCGAAATAAGCCGGAACAGAACTTTATAATCTCCATTTTACTGCTCCTTTTCCATTTCATCGGCAGCAGCACTGACTTCCTTCCACGAGTACTCCATATCCTCGGACTTGGTGAAGCGCGAGCACACTGCCATGCGTAGGAAGTACACGTCCTTGATTTTGGCCGGAACCATATGGATATTGCCACGTCCGTTGATCCTCTTCAATAGAGCCTCGTTGTTCTCATTGCTGCCCTTCAGCCGGAAGCACACCAAGCCCATGTTGACCTCTGCCGCCAGTTCGAACCTCGAGTCGGCCACACAGAGATCTCCAAACTGCTTGGCAAAGTTGCAGTGCCTGCGGATATGCGCCTGCAGATTCTCCACACCGTAAAGGCGCAGGACAAACCAGAGCTTGAGGGCACGAAACCGACGTCCCAGGGGAATCTGCCAGTGGCGATAGTCCGGAGCAGATCCCTGCATGTCGTGCTTCAAGTAGAGGGGATCCACATTGAAGGCGTTCACCACCCAGCTGGGATCCTTCAGCCACATGGCCGAGCAGTCAAAGTTCACCAGCATCCATTTGTGCGGATTGAAATTGAAGGAATCCGCAGTTTCAATGCCCTTCATCAAGTGGCGGTACTCTGGACAAATGAACGCGGAGCCGGCATAGGCGGCATCCACATGGATCCACACATTGTGCTTGTTTCCCACGGGTCCACACTCGTCTAGGTAATCGAAAGCACACGAGTTCGTGGTGCCCAGGGTGACCACTGCATAGAAAGGAATCAAACCATCGGCCAAATCCTGCTTTATGGCCTTTTCCAGGGCATCCCCGCGCATCCTGTGGTTATCCGAGGGCACCGATCGCAGTCGCACGCCTCCCAGGAGACCAGCACGCTCCACGGAGGAGTGTGCCTGATCGGAGCAGTAACCCACAAGCTTTCCAACGATAGTGTGCTCGTCCCACTCCGGATGCTGAGCCTTGACCTCCTGCACCTTCTTGGCCTTGGCTCCCAGAAGAGCCACCAAGGTGGACTCGCTGGCCGTTCCCTGAATAACTCCGCCTCCTTTGCCACCGGAGCAGGCCAGGAACTCAGCTGGTAGATCCAGCATCTTGCCCAGCCAGTCCATCATGACCACCTCCAGTTCTGTGCAGGCGGGACTGGCAATCCAAGTGAATCCAATGCAGGCAATGGCTCCGCTCAGCATGTCAGCCACAATGGCCGGATAGGAGTTGGCCGTGGGGAAGTAGGCATGGAACTTGGGGCTGTGCCAGTGGGTAACCCCCGGCATAATGACCCTCTCGATGTCCTGCATCACATCCTGCCATTTCTCTGGTTTCTCAGGAGCGGCATCCGGGATGAGGGGCTTTAGATAGCCGGGCTTTACTTCAGGCAGAACGCGTCTGAAACGAGAATAATCTTATTAGGTCTCTGATTGCATGAAAAGCTTCTAGCTAATTGATTGTGAAACTTCGTTATCACACAAAGGCAGTAGGGAATGGGCGGAAGGAAGAAGCTCAGCATCCTGCCCTCCCCAACTTGTTGCCTTGTGGCAATAAAAAATCAATATAAATATATAAATGTGTTGAAAAGTGTCGTCAAGAGAAGAATAACAGACATAGAAGCCGGCGATGGTTGCTGACGCATTTCCTTTCAATATATGTGATTTAAACAATAAGAAAAATTATGTGGGGCTCAAAATAAAAGATTATTGTTACTATCTATCTACTCTAAAAAAAAAGAGTTGTATAATAAATAATTATAAAATGACTAAGAATAATTTGCAGGTTAAAAGAGTTTTAAAATTTTAATAACCCCAAAGAAAAGTCTTTTAAAATTTATTAATAATTTTATCAAGGCTAAAGAAACCTAAAATAAGTTTTAAAAACCGCACAAGAACAATGCGCAACCTGTCGCTTTTGCCCCAAGGCTTATAAGCAATTATATCTACATAAAAATCGACCTTGACACGCCAACAATTATAAACCTTTTTAATGCCGTAATGATTAATTAGCCGTAGGCTCAAGAGTAAGAGCTAAAAAACCGCACAAAAAAAATAACAAAAACTGTGAAAGTGTTTTGAAATAGAGTATGCAATTGAGAAGGTCGCTTAAACTGCCTTTAAGTACTATATATAAAGCAAAGTTCCCTTTCCGATCGTGTGGCGGCTTTCCCATGACTAATGCTCCAAACGTGTGCAAAATGTCATTCACTTGCCCGGAATCGAACAGAACGAACTTTCAAATCGAAAACAAAACGCAGCTGAGGTCAAGCAACACAGGTTGCTTATAAATAAAACCTATATGTATCGACACTGCTACAAATTAAATTAAATTCAAGCTAATTGAGACACTCGTTCTCGCTGACTTACCTTTCGCGTATGTTCTCCAAATATTCGGCAATAAAATCCACCATTGTCTTGGCGAAATCTTTAAACTCTGGTGCCTCCATATCGATCTTAAAGGGAAAGGGTAAGAAGAGGTCAGGATTGATATTTGTATTGTTTAGACACAAGCTATAGACATACCGAGACCTTGGGATCCAGTTTATCTTCCATATTGTTAGCTTTACCATTACCGTTAGTTTGCTTTGGTTGGTTAGTGTTATTAATGGGTAATTTGCTCATGTTGTGTTAGTCCAAATATAATTAGTAATGGAATGAAATCGAAATCTTTAATGGGAGAATGACACAAAAGCAGTCTATCAGTAACTAAGAGATAATATTAATCAGGGGCAGCTGCGAATTTCAGAGTGTGATGTTTACACTGAGCTAAAACTAATAAAAAACTGTGTATTCATTTTGTAATAAGATAATAATGAATAATATTGTTCTTTTTAAGTTTTTATGATATAAAAACTAAGGGTTTAACTATATTAATTTGCTATTACCAAAGCTTTTATTTATGCCTTTTTGGTTTTGCTTGAGTGCCTCTCTTAAAAGGTTTATGTTCGTAAATAAAACCCTCTATTAGTAGTTAATTTTTCAAAATTCCTTTTACTTTTAGCTACTAATTACAATTAAGATTAGTCTCGATAACTTCTTCGTTTGATCACACAGTAAATTTGTATGATAATTAGAATATTGCCATTAACATTTTGCATTAATTAACTTTAGATTATTTTTCTCAATTCACTTTTAACAACGTAAACAAGTTGACATTGAGACTGGCAACTGGTGGCGTGGCCAGCAAATACACACATTTTTTTTTTTTTGAATAATACACAAACTTTCAGATACTAAGACCCAAAAAGTAAGCCACTAAAGAATGCCGAAACTTAAAAAATACAGTGGATTAAAGCAAGGCAAGGTTAGATGCCTAGTTTTAGATGTATGCCAGGTTCGCGCATTACGTATACGCCGCGTTAGCCCCGAAAATGAATCTCTGCCATGCACTCATTATGTTGCCCAAGCACTTTAGGTATTTAAATCTTAGACACACACACATGCCACTCACCGTGCACTTTACTTAACTGCTTTTAATTATTTGCACTTGTCGCCGAGCTTTGTTTCCGTTCCGAACTAAATCTTTGCCCAACTTAGAGTTCGCTCTATATGTATAACGTCAGCTATATCTGTTCGATCTGATGGAGCTGCTGTGCTGTGCTCGGCATTCGCCTCTTAACTGAGCGCCACTCGCTTTTGGCCAAGGCTTTTAAAGCTCGGCCAGCGGGCGCTGCCGCTGTCGCAGGACCGGTTCAAGCCGCTCTGCCGCTGAACTCCACCTTGCGGGCTGTAAAAATATATATTATGTATGTATATTCTGCACTTGATTTGTGTTCTTTACGTTCTGTGCGGTGATTTTGTTACTCTTTTTGAAACATACATTAATTTCGGCGTGACTCAGTAGCAGGAAAATACAGCCAAAGGTTTAATTGTGGAATTAATCAATCAATTAGTCCTTTAAAAATAAATTTAAAAAGTAATTTAACTATCTTACAATGTTATTAAATAAAGAAAAAAGAAGTAAAAGATTTAAAACTAAATGGAAATATTTGTGAGACGAATTAATTTGCTTACTTCTTTGGGATTACATTTTTTTTTATGAATAAGCAATGTTTCTATATCATATTTTAAATTTACAAACAAAATATAAATTATTAAATTATTTAAAAATATTTATTTAACAAAAAAATCTTCATTTCCCAGAAGCTTACTGATCATATTCTGCTCACGTTATGTCCAACTCTGCTCTCATTTTGAGAGAAAGAAAACCTGGACGACAATGCCAGGAATCCCCCATCGTGAGTCATCACCAGCCGGGATTTCCTCGAGATCGTACGCAAAAAAAGATAAACAAACAAATTTAAAATTCATAGAAGAAACAAGAAATCAAACGTAAGCGAATGGCACGCTTTACGCGCATCTGCGGAACAGGTTTTCAGAGCATCAAACGTCATGTGGCTTTTGGCGACCCCCTGATCCGCTCATGGCATAGTGACGTCAAAAAAATCCATCCTCTTCAGCCTCTCACTCTGGCTTTCCTATTGTGCTAGGGGAGGAAGTGAGTGTGGGCTAGGTTGAGGAGCATTTCGAATAAGGGATGTGTGGTATGGGGCTTGTGGGGTGACCTGCGGGTTAGGGCCAACTGTTGCTGAGCTGGAAGGCAGGCAGTCGGTGTGTGTGTGTGCCTGACAACATTTCAACGAAGCCACTTTGGCAAATCACTTGACTGAATCAACAGATTTATATGCCATGCCAACGGCTCTGCTTTCGATTTTAGTGCGTTGGGTGCACCGCCCGTTCACTCCCACTCCCTTTCTACCCCCATTATGCTCCTTTACGGGTGGCTGGAGTCTGGGATTGAGGCAAAAGAAATACTACTATTTGATTTATGGCTGACTTGAAGTTGCTAGAGAATAAAGGCGACTTTGGCATTCATGGCGCCCTCAAGTGGGAATTGCATAACCAGGCTAAAGAAGTGAAAATGAGTTGAGATAAGGGAAACAATCAGTGGGTTTTAGTTAAATTGTATAAAATATACATAAATGCCAAGGGAGTTACATTAATTGGAGAATGTATCCTTTTTACATAAGTATATTTATATTAAGCGTTATTCTAGATATTCGTACGTTGAAATGTAATCTTTGTAGTTTAGTTATTATAGTTGTAAAATAAATTAAAGATGTTATGTTCCAAAATTTCAAACTAATTGGTCGAGTAGATTTTGAGTACAGCGACTTCCCATAGGGCACTTTTCAAACGACCTCTGATCAATAACTTGGTGAACATTGCTATAATTAATGTAAAACTTTGACACAATATTCCTAAGATATTAAAAACAAAGATTTTAAATATAATTCCAACTTTAAAATAAAAAAAACCCAAATTAAAAACGAATGAATTTGTGGTTTAAATTTTATTGTTTACGGTTCACAATCAAATTTGTTCTTTGTGTTCCACACACACTGGTTAGCCAGAGATCCAGATCTTAGGGACCAAATCAGTTGGAAGCGCGCCCCCGAACGACCCAGACAACGGAGGGTACAACAAACGTTGAGCCGCAAGCGGAGCACGCACAGAGGACCGAGGATCGACCCCGATCGGGAAGAGAATGAAATAGAACCGTTTACAGGGGACAAATTTTGGTTGTTTCGCTTCATTTTCTCCACAATCTCAGTCAGTCGAAGTGCATATTTCAGCAGAAACAAGAATCGAAAAGTACTTAGTTAAATGCTATATGTAGGTAGTTACAACTTAACGGAACTAGGTGATGCACCCAGCTACTGTGCAATGGTCGACGGCAGGTTGAGCAACGTGCTCTGTCCGCTGGGCAAGTAGGCAACACCGCGGGACCTCGATAGCTGGTAGGCAATATCCTCGGCGGCCTCGATACGACGCAGCTCCACCAGACCATCGCCGGCCTCGCCGAATGACTTGGCCAACAGATCGGCGGCAGCGGCATCACCCTCCGCTGAAATGATGGAGGCCAGCTTCTGCTGCTCGGCCTTCTCCACGACAAAGCGAGCCTTCTCCGCCTCCTGTTGGGCCACCTGCTTCATCTCCACAGCCTGCGTGAATTCCCGTCCGAAGGTCAAGTGTGTGAGCGAGATGTCGTCCAGAATGAAGCCGAACTGCTTGGCGCGCACAGTCAATTCCTGGGAAACGCGCTGGGATACCATCTGTAAATTGAAAAATCAAGAAATGTATGTTAATATGAGTCCAAAAATTATGCCTTCAGGCAACTCTCTGAACTTAAACCCACCTCACGCTGGGTAATCAGCTCGCCGGCATCGAACTGGGCAACCACAGCCTTCAGCACCTCGGGCGCAATAGAGGGCAACACACGCTCGTCGTAGTCCTGGCCCAAAATAGTGTAGATCTTGGGCAGCTGGTCGGGAATGGGTCGGTACAGGATACGCAGCGTAATGTTGACATTCTGCAGATCCTTGCTGCCCGTAATGACTGGAACATTGCGGGGCTGGGAGCGAATGTCAAAGATGATGGGCCGCTGCACCCACGGAATGAAGAAGTGTGTGCCCTCGCCGACCACACTCTCCTTGATGCCGGTGAAGCGATCGAAGATCACCGCCCGGTGTCCGCCTTCCACATTATATAACGCCGAGTTCACGACGCCTCCCAGCACCGCCACTCCAAGACCAAGCTGGCCGATGCGATTGAAGAATTGAGCAGCCATTGTGTCTGTGGTTAAATAAAAAACAAATGGAATTAATCAGTTGGTGTCTTCAATAGACTTCTACACATAAATAAAAAGCCGACTGGATTAAGCAATTTCGTCAGATTTTTAGGTTAGAACGTCATTGCTGCCCGACAACGTGATGTTTACATGATTTTCGGTGTAATTGAAAGGGATTTCTTGTAAAACCCAATCTGTGCGCTTAAACACTTACTAATTAAAGCTGTTTGAGTTAAATTAAATCAGAATATTGTGCAATTTTGCCCTTCGAAACGAACAAAACACGAAATTCAACCGCACGGCAGACCGATAACTCGATAGTTGAGTTGACAGGTACAATAAAGTTATCACATTATCGATAGTTGAGTTTTTCTAGATATTAAAATATTTATATATTAAGATATATTCTTGTTGAAAATGTATAAATACTGTGAATAAATTATAAACATAATAAGTGTGTTTTTATAATTTTATTAATTTTAATAATATTTATAGATGTCGCCACTGTACCCCAACTTTATGTTATCGTAAAGTCGATAGTAAACTTGGCGGACTTTTTGAATTGATTTCAAGTTTAAAAATAAAATCTTTTACAACTTAGTTTTAATTGCATTTTAATTTGTACAAAACTAAGGTTTTTGGAAATTCCCCCAAACTACTGCGTCATCTCGGCCCGCCCCGCGCCCTTGGGCATCTTCTTGTTGGTGGAATCCTCCAGCTCCTTGGCCTTGTAGTAGTGCGGCGCCACCTCCAGCAGCCACTTGCTCTCGATCTCGATCACCTGGCGCATATACTCCTTGGACGTAAATACGAGCTCGTGGTAGAGCACCCATCGCGGCAGCTCCTCGAAGAGCGACGAGTTCGGGTGAATCATTACCGTCTGGTTGTGCTTTATGGTCTTGTAGTGGCCCCCCTTGGACAGGCGTGCCACGTGGTAGAAGTAGCCGGCAGTGGCCGCCTTACGAACGTTAATCGTCTCCGGCAGGCAGCTGACCATATCGATTTCGACGCGCTGCATCAGGCCCACGAGCTGCTCACGGACATCCCGTGCCCGCTTCATGGACCGATATTGGATGAAGTTCTCGTAGCACCACTGGGTGCTGTAGTCCGTCTCCGCCCATTGATTGTACACCTGGAGCAGACTCAAATGGTCTCCGTGCATGTGATTGAAATTCTTTCGCGCTGTGTCCGCATGGATGATCTTGTCCTTGGGCCTGTAGAAGATGGCGCTATTCACGGAGAGCATGGCGGCAATGGTGACCATCTCCTCGGAGCATTTGTATCTGAAATGGAAGTGGGGATTAAGATTGGATTTTCGATTAAAAAGTAACACTTACTTTTCGCTTGCCAGCAGCATTTTGCCCATCATTGGATCCACCGGAAACTCGGCCATTCGGCGGCCCAACTTGGTCAGCTCCCCGTGGTGATTCAGAGCGCCCAAGGCGTACAGCTGCTCCAGAGCCAGAACGAGCGTCTCGTGCGGCGGGGGATCCAGAAAGTCAAAGTGTATGAGGTCGTTGATTCCCAAAGCTTTCAGCATGAGCACAGCATTGCCCAGATTGATGCGCTGTATCTCCGGCACCGTGTTGTCCTCCAGTTCGTGCTTGTATGCCCAAGCAGTGTACAGCCGAAAGCACTTGCCCGGAGCAGTACGTCCCGCTCGGCCCGCTCGCTGATTGGCCGAGGCTTTTGATATAGGAACCACCATCAGAGACTCCATTCCCGTCCTGGAATTAAAGTTATTCTGCTTGGCAAAGCCGGGATCAATCACATAGATGATATTATCGATGGTTAGCGAGGTTTCTGCTATATTCGTGGCCAGGATCACCTTGCGGGCATTGGGTGGCGTGGGCTCAAAGATCTTGGCCTGCATGTCACTGGGCAGATTCGCGTAGACGGGAATGACAATGAGTTCACGGATCTTGGAACCCAGTCGCTTAACGCGATCCTGTAGAACCTCCTGGCAGGTCTCGATCTCATCCTGGCCGGTAAGGAACACCAGAATATCGCCCAAAGGCTGGGTGGCATGGATTTGCAGGACCGAAACACAGCAGGCATCGATGTAGTCCGCCTCCGGGGCCTTGGTATAGAAAATATCAACAGGATAACGACGTCCAGGTATCCGGAAGATGGGTGCATCATCGAAGAAGGCCGAGAACTTATCCGCATCCAAGGTGGCACTCGAGATAAGCAGCTTCAGTTCTGGCCTAAAGCGAGCAATATCCTTGACCAGGCCAAACAGAATGTCCGTGTGAAGCGTTCGCTCGTGGGCCTCGTCGATGATCATCACACTGTAGGAGGCGAGATCGGGCTCCGAAAGGAACTCCCTATGCAAGGTGCCGTCCGTCATGTATTTGAGAATGGTGCGATCCGAGGTGCAGTCCTCGAAGCGAATGCTGTAGCCCACCTCGTTGCCCAGCTTAACGCCCATTTCCTCGGCCACACGCGCCGCCACCGACATGGCGGCCACTCGACGAGGCTGGGTGCATCCGATCATCTTCTTGTCCTTGGTGAAGCCCGCTTCGACCAGATATTGAGGCACCTGGGTGGTCTTGCCCGATCCGGTTTCACCTTCGATGATAAGCACCTGGTGCTCCTTGACGGCGGCTATCAGATCGTCCTTGAAGGGATACACAGGCAGGGATCTTTTCGTTTCCTCCAAAGTCAAACGCTTGCGCTCTTTCTCTGTTAATTCTGGCTGCCGACTGGTGGACTTTTCGCGACTTCCGTCCAGAGTCAAGGCTTGGATAAAGTCAATCTGGTCGTCTAGCAGCAGCTCGTACTCCTCCTCAGCCTTGGCATCCTTGGCACCGAACTGAAAGCGTGCCGAGGCCAACTGCTCGGCCTCCCATTTCTTTTGTTCCGAGTTTGGTTGCTTCTCAAAGTCATCCACTTCCACATATTCCGCTGAAAGTAGGCGAAGGAAATTAGGATTTAGAGAAGATTAGGTGTAGATCATTTACTCACATCTCTCGCCCTTCTTCAAGTCCTGCGGCATACGATAGCGCTGCACGCGCTCCAGTTCCCGGGCCTTCTCATGCTCCTTGGCAATGTTCAGCAGCTGCTTCTTGTACTGTCGCTCCTCCTTCTCCCGCTTGGTTAACCTGCAATGAATGCCTCATTAGTCACTCTTAACTGCTATTAATCTTAATTTTTATCCTACACGCTCTCATCGAACAGGTATTCATCGTCCAGGATGTCTGCCTCCAGTTCCGCCACCTTGTCGTCCTTGCGCTTCTCCAGATACTGGCGACGCGACTGCAGACGCAGGTGGGGCACAATCTTGTCCCGGTCCTCATGCTCCAGCTTCAAACGCTTGGTGGCCTCCTCGATGGCCTTACGCCCGCCAGTGGAGTCCACCACTTTTCTGGTGCGATCCTCATCGCGCTGCTTGAGCCTGTTGGCAAACTCGTCGCGCTCTTGGAGATCCTTCAGGCGTGACTCTTCCTCGCTGTCCGGCTCCTCGGCGCTGCTGCTGCTGCTGGCCGTCCGTTTTCTGTTTTTACTCGACATTTTTATTCATAAACAAACCGAATGAGGGAAGAAGAGGAAATCACCGGCTGTTTATCGATAAGCGATAATATTCAGCGATGGGAGTTTGGCTATTTTATTTACATATGGGTAAAATGTAAACAACTCAGCAATTTATTAGCTATACTAATCGATTTTTTACCCGATAATCGATACATATGGCTTTGTTATTTTTATGAAATACCATCTCAATTTAGGACCATGTCGCGCCAGTTGAGTTTTAATCCTCAAAAAGAGTTTGAATTGATTGAATATCCTGGAAAAGTGGTCAATCCCGACCGTATGCTGGCCACGCTAGGCGGCATAATCAACATATCCAAGGTAAGCATTGGATTATCGATGGTATATCCATAGTCTCCTTCAGAATCTATCCCATTCCAGGTTCTGGGCGATGAGGTCAAGCGGTTGCCACTGCGTTTCCATCCGGAGAATCCCTACAACAAACCCGCCTTTGGTGATTGTAGCGAGAAAACCGGTGTCCTGCTTTCCATAACCGTCAGACGTCACAAAAAGGACAGACAGCGTCCGCCGGAATACTTTGTGCGTGTTTTGGGCCACTGCAGCAGAGTGTTTACCTTCGATTCCCTGTGTGACTTTCAGTACCTGCCCCTCTGGTCGACGCCGAGGAGTGACAGTGCCAACGCTGCCCTGGAGCTCACATACGCCCTCGATCAATTGATGCCCAGAGACAGCGCCGATCTGGACTTTTTCAAGTAGTTAAACATATAGTACTTGTAATTATTAACGAATAATTATTATCACCCTGCAGACGCCGCCATAGTCAGCTCCTGTCCCTCCCAGAATTGTTCACGCACGTTGACGTGGTCTACCCAGGATCCTATCGCACCGACAGTCAGGAGGATGGCCAGCAGGAGGTCCTCGGTGTGCAGTCAAAGGCCACCTATGATAACCAGGGCGTTATCTCCTTCAACATGGTGGACAGCTTTCCCACCCAGGCAGACTCACAGAATCTCAAGCGACTTAAGGTGAAGTACGTGTCCGATGAGCAGCTGGCCTGCGTCAAGAAACTCTTCGATGACTGCCCCATTTGGACACGGATTGCGCTGCAATATGAGTCTGGACTGACCAATGACAAGCTGAAGTGCATAACGCCTTCGCTGGCCTATTACTTCAGCAATGGACCGTGGCGAACGATGTATGTACGCTTTGGCTACGATCCACGCAAGGATTTCAACAGTCGCTACTACCAGACATTCGATTTCCGACTGAGATTCAGCACTGGCCTCTCGGAATTCGTTTACTCCAAGAAGTTTGTGAAGCAGCGAAAGGCGGCTAACGCTTCGTCTGGACCTTCCGAGGACGGCTCCTCCGACTTGGTCCAGGACATTGATTATCCCTATTTTGACGAGCACAAGTTGCCGCGCTCCCGGCAGTGCATGCTGCGTTACTCTGATGTCCGGATGGCAAGGATTCAGGAAATGTTGGAAAAGATACCTACGCCTCTAACAGGAGCCGTGTGCAATGAGAGAACCGGTTGGCTGCCGCCTGGATTCGATGCCCAAGTGCGGCAAATTGTGTGCAGCACCATTAGCGAACTGCTGCGCAGTCACTACCGCAAGGAGCATCTGACAGCCGAGGTGGAAGCGGTTCCCCAGACCGATGCCGCCGAGGAGGAGGACGAGGCCGATGTCGAAGAGGAGGAAGACACGCAAGAAGAGGACATGGAGCAAGATGAATCGCAGACCGAGCAGTACCCAGATACCGATATTGAACAGCTCTTGGATAATATCACCAGCTGAGGTGATTCGCGACCGAAAGTTGGCTCGTTGGTTTAGATATTTAAAGGTTAATTTAAGTGAATTTATAATTTATATTTTAAGCATTTATTAAAGCCTCCTTTTAAAAGGTTTTTGAAGAAACCCTTCGAGTTTACTTTCCCTTTGCTGTGCGTTTTTTCTTGATATAAATTCCAAATTCGAAATGCAAAAGGAAACATATGTAAGATAAAATAAATTCAATTCAATATAAGCTTAGGCGCGGCCTTTATTTTTGCATATTCATACAAATAAATTGTATTAAGTTTCATTTCATGAGCAGAAGCTAAAAAGTATTAAAACGAGTTGTTATATTTACGATATAAATTTCGTGTAAATGCTGGCAGAAAAAGCTCGTCTCCCTGTGTCCCCCTTAAGGCTTGCATCTGTCGAGGAAACGAGGGTACAAACAGACCTCGCGAATGTGATACCGGTTGAGCAGCCAGCAAAGGAAGCGCTCCAAGCCCAATCCATAGCCACCATGGGGCAAAGTTCCGTAGATGCGCTGATCCGTGTACCAGTAGTAGGGCTTGGGATCAATGCCCTCGCGCTGGTAGCCCTTGAGCAGCTCCTCGCTGTCGTGTATCCTCATCGATCCGCCCACAATCTCACCCACATTTGGCAACAGAACGTCCACGCTTTCGGTCAATCGCTGATCCTCTTCGCAGCGTGACATGTAGAAGGACTTGATCTCGGCCGGGAAACGGCACAGCATGATGGGCTCGTTAATGGTATCGGTCATCTTGCGCTCCGGGGCCTCGGGTATGTCCTCGCCGAACTCGTAGAAGGTGCCATCGTCTTTGGTCACATTGTTCTCCTTTAGCCACTTGATCGCATCGACATAGTTCATGCGACGGAATGGCTTCTGCGGCGGCTTGAAATCAGGGTTGAGCTCCTTCACCAAGTAGCCCCAAGGGGACTTCAGCACGCGATCCACCACATCGCACACCAAATCCTCCAGGCGGTCCAGGAGGTCATCGAACGTGATGAAGGGGCACTCGGCCTCGACGTGCGAATACTCAGCCAGATGGCGACGCGTGCGGCTCTGCTCCGCCCGATAGCTCTGGGAAATGGTGAAGACATCGCCCAGGGCCGGCAGACACGTCTCCAGATACAGCTGCGAGCTCTGCGTGAGGTAGGCCTCTTCGCCGAAATACTTCAGCTTGAAGAGGGTGGAGCCGCCCTCCACTTGGGTTTGCACCAAAGTTGGTGGCGTCACCTCGTTATAGCCCCGGGCCTCGTAATGAGCCCGGAATGCCTGCGTCACTACGGAACGCATCTTTAGCACCTTGGAGGTGTTCTCGCCACGAATCATGATGTGCCGGTTGTCCAGCTGCACATCTGGCTGGGCTTCCTCGTTGAGAATGGCGTCAGCGCCACCGGGCGGAGCCAATCCAATCACCTCCCAGTAGTCCACGTTAAGTTCGTGGCCGCCAGGAGCCGTCTTGCCCTCCGGCACCAACTTCAAAGTGCCAAACAGAACCACACTGCTCTCCGTGCTGAGGACCAGGGCATCGTACGTCTGGCAGAGCTGATCGTTCAGCACGCACTGCAGGAAGCCAGTGCCGTCGCGAAGTGTAATGAAGATGAGAGACTTGCCCTGGCGACGTAGCCGATGCACCCAGCCATAGATTTTGACGCGGGAGCCGCGATTGGCGGTGCCTTCGAGGATGCGAATCTTGCGCGCCACCGGCCAACTGGGATCCTCGGCGATTTTCACTTTACGTGCCTCCTCCAGATTTTGCTGGCGCTTCACCGCATCTTCAGCCTCTCGCTGCTGCTTCTCGGCATTCTTTTGGGACTCACGCACGAACAGCTTTTGGATCTTCTTTAGCTGCGACTTGGCAGCCGGCTCGAAAGGCTCTGCCGCATTCGGGTCCTTGCTGTCCACGTAAATGGTGGGGAACGGCTCCTTACCAGCACTCCGCATCGCCTGCAGGATGGTCTTGAAGGGCTTGGACTCGCTGCCATCGCCTGCATCATCGCTTCCCTTCTTTTCGGAAGTGAAGATAGAACCTGCACATGGCCATAAATATACATATTTCACATTATAGATCGATAATTTTGGCTGGCCTGACAACGTGGACGAATAGTTTCTCCCGGATTTCGACAAAAAGGGGCACTTACCTAAGGTTAACTCAGCCAACTGGTCGGCGGACATCTTGTTTGCTGAATGAATAATATTTTACCAAGAACTGGGCTTTATTATCTCCGTAAAAGCTGCACAAAATTGCATCAGCTTGACGTTCCGTACAAAATACCGATACCGCTGCCGGATATTCGATAGTCCGATAACACCGGGTTGCCAATTATAACGATTTAAATATTTTAAAGTTATAATTTTGAATATTAATTAAGATTTAAAATAATAAAACCAGGTAAGAAATATTCATAAATATTAAAATTTGATTTTTTATGAGAAATTCGATAAAATTGGAAATAATTATTTCTATCTAGCTATAAAATATCGGAAATCTCTAGAGCTTTCCAGCACTATCAATTGATATTCGTGGTAATTTTTAGCACTATTCAAGCTCTGAGGAAAAGGTAAACAAGATAGAAATCCAGAAAATGCCTTCGGAAAACAGGTAAATTTAATTAATCCATTCCATATCGGAACTTCATTGACACCTAATATATCCCTGAACCCCGTCCCTTAGGATCAAAATCTTCCCCAAGTCGGTAGTTTGCGAGGAGAGCAACCTGCGGGGTGACATCACCTTCTCCTCTGGCTGCGTTGTCCACCCAAGTGCGACAGTCATCGCTGATGCGGGTCCCATAATAATAGGGGAAAACTGCATTATCGAGGAGTATGCCACCATAGCTCATCGCCTGGAGCCTGGGGCCAGCTGGGATGCTAACAATATCCTCAGCATTGGCACGCACAACGTCTTCGAGGTAGGCTGCAATGTGGAGGCAGCTCGGATAGGCGACAAGAATGTATTCGAGAGCAAATGCTTCGTGGGCCGCGGAGTCACCGTGACTAGTGGCTGTGTGGTTGGTGCCGGAATCAAGATGCTCACCAGCCAGCGCTTGTCGGAGAACACAATTGTCTATGGGGAGCAGGCCCTGCAGCGAGAGGCCATCGACAAGCAAGGATCGCAGACACTCCAGATCGACTTCTTGCGCAAGGTCCTGCCCAACTACCACCATCTTCGCAAGCCCAATTACGATCCCAAAAAGGCACGCAGTGTCGTCTAGTTTATAGCCTCTGGCCCATCATGTATTCTCCTCTTTCGTAGCATTAAAGTCCTTCATCTCCTTCTCGAATGTGACCATTGTGTGATCGCACAACGCCTCTAGATCCTCCAGCCCCCGCTTGAGTATATCGACGGCCCGGTCTCGGCGGGCTTGGATGCGGAAGTGCAGCTTCTGCTCGGTGGGATGCGGAATGGTGTACCCGCAAAAGTCCACCTCCGGGTACCGGGCAATTATGGTCTTCAACGCATTGCCCAATGTGTGACCCTCGTTGGAGAACACAAACGTGCGGGATCCCTCGCCATTCTTCTCGTCCCCAGCCAACTAGGGATAATCTTGCGGTTAACGAACGCTATACGAATGATAATATCAGTTACTAACCTCTGCAAGTGCGCCCATTTTAAGTTTTTAAAAAGGTTTTTCCGTTTGTTTACAAAAAAACGTGCTGACTCTTAAAGATGGAAGTGAATCGATATTTCAGAGAACACATCGATTACATCCAAATCCAATAAAAACCATTCTTTTAAATACAAATTAAGAAACCTATATTTGATTAGTTTAAATATATTATATATATATTTAAAGTAGTCATTTTATATTTACAGCTTACATTAAAAAATAATATAAGTTTTGCTTTCGATTCCCAGAAGATATATCGATGATTATAGAATCCGTAAATATCGATTATTCGATTGCAAGCTCGCCCCTACTTCCGCCTCTAGTTCTGACGCGTTTTGAGCAAAAAAGCCGCAGCTTGCGTTTGTGAATTTATATTGTTTGTTAATTCATTTTGCGGCCAATATATTGGGGGCCAGGCTAGCAACGAAATCAGCTAACCGTAGTTGTAGGCCAAGCGAAGTGTCGCAAACAGCCGCATTAGCATAATTGCATCGCACGCAGAGTGTGCCGCTTTTGAGTGTATGTGTGTGGTGTGTGCGCGAATTGTTTGAAAGCATCAGCAGAAAAGGCGGCAAAAAGAGGCGAAGTGGAGAGCGAAAAGAAAAAGAAGAACGACACCGACAGCGGCGGCAGCACAAAAACAAAAAAAAAAATGCAACGGCAAACAATTATTTTTGCAATGCATTGAACGTGAAGTTGCTCCAAAAACACGGACACCCCGAAAACGCATACAGCCAAGAAACGGCACTTCAGCTTTTTTCCATTTCTTTTGCATCGAGCGCGCGACAGGAATAAACTGCAATACAGGTTTGTTTAATGCACAATGTGCTTATTAATAATACCTTATAAATAAGTATGCATTATTTAACGATCGACACTAAGTGTCATTTCAATGAATTCTCTTATTTGGCAATGACTGCCACGCCCCCTTGTCAGTCCCGAAATTATGCAAATTCATGGAGCGGCGTACTGTTGCACGCACACAAGCGCAAAGCAGGCAGCCGAGACGTCAACTTCTCTGCCGGCGCAGACAAAGGCGGAAGTGTTCGAAAAAATAATACCAGTTCACAGAGGCAGGCTTTAAGCTTTGCAGCTCCACTTTGCCTTTTCTGTTCTCTTTAGCCGTTTTCGATGATACACTAAGCATTATTATATAAACAATTGAAAAATTCATAATATTTTTTATTTTTCTGACATTTAAAATTTACATATTTACATTTGTACATACATACATGTGTACATGGAGCTCCTTTCAAAATGTAATGTGTTCTTTTAGGGCTTCTATTCTGAAAACAATGAATTCTTTTCTGAGCCAAGCTGGAGTAAACAATTGTTAATACATAATTATTTCATTGCTTTTAGCCGATATTCACTGTAATGAGATTTCCACTGGTTGCTAAGCCGTATTGCTTGTTTCTCTCTCCCCAACACGGCATCCTGCTGGCTCCTTTGCACTCATTTGTTAGGTGGTACATCCCGTTCACATCTGTTGTTTGGTGGTGACTAATGCGGCAGCATGTTCCGTTATCTCATGCGTTTCCCCTCCGCGCGCCCACGCCAAAAAGCTTGTGTTGTAATAATCTGCTTGTTAGTGTGTGTGCCTGGGTGCACGCTTGTCTCACGTTTCGTTTGGCGCCATGCGTTCCCCCCAATTTGCAGTTGTTGCAATTTGGTCTAGGCTGTGTTCCGTTCCCATTTCGTTTCCCCCATTCGCCCTTTTCTTGTTGTTGCTTTTACATAGCTGCAGTGCTGCGCATAAATATGTTTGAATGTATGTATATTTGCCTGCCGGCGTTCGTCTGACGTCCACGTGAGTGTGTGTGAGACAGAGCCAGCGGAGGCAGCTGCTCTCTCCTGGCCAAAAAAGGGGTTCGCTCTCGCTTCCTTTTGCCCTTTCCCTCTCCTTAGCTGACTCTATTCTTTTTTTTTGCTCCTGCAATTATTTGGCTTTGTGGTGGTTACAACAAAGGAACTGCATTTAAGCGTCACGATCGTCGCAAAAAAAAAAAAAAAAAGAATAAAAGAAGTGCGAAATGGTTCTGGGAACACGATACAGGGGTTCTCATTTGGCCCGTGCAAATAAACACACACAAACAGAACACTCATGGGCAAATAGGCGAACAGCTGCGGTCAAAATAATAGCAGTAATGAAATTATGTGGTTGTTTAAGCCATTTTACCATAATAGTTGCTGGGGGTTCTCCTTTTTTAATTTTTACCATGTCTTTAATTTTGTATTCTTTTAAATTTCAAGGTTTATTTTTTACTGCAGGTTATGTTGTCTCTCGAAATTATAGAAAATGCATTATTATTTTATTTACTACTTTAAAATGAAGAAAATTTGTTTAATACATCAGTCCTATTAATTTGGCTGGTACTGTGTTCAGTACACCTATGTATATGTAATTATGTACATATGGAAAAGAACTTCCCTAGCATTTACTCGCGAAACTGATTCGTAAACAATTTCCGCACTCCGCACCCGTGGGTAATATTGTATTCTTGTAAGTCTTGTAAAGCCAGCGAAACCTGCACAAAAGCCATATTTGCACGTGCAAATAAATGTGAGACATACGATGAGCTCTCCCCGGAGTGATATATCCTTCACCTGGGGACATGAATATTGCAAAAATCTATTTTATATACGAAATACTTGCCAGGATGTTGCAAGAGGCCATGATGACAACAGGCAGTTGATACAGTGAGCACTGGTGAAAGAAGAAACGATTTCTGTCATGTTTTTGTGGCTGTTTTTTTATGAGGACAATGATACATATCACCTAAAGCCGATTTCTAAAAGATCAGCTGAGATATTTCGAAAAAAATAACCAACAAGCTTACAAAAAGGCAGTTTCTCGGGTGACTCACGTTGGATGCATTTCTGAGGCAAGTAGTCTTTTCGAGGTACCACTGTGCGGAATATTTCCAAGGATGCTTGCAGACATCGAAAGCCACACAAACTAAATAAAATAAATAAAATACGCAGACAGCAGAAGGGGGGTCAAGAGGAAGAAGAGCACGGGTAAGGGGGCCCGAGGGATCCGGGTTCAGAAGCAGACAAGAAAGGCGAAATGGCAATGGCACAAGACGGAGATGGAGATGGAGAGCATAGAGCGGAGAACGGACACGACAACGTGCCAGGCCAGCATCCTGTGCAGCGAACGAATATAGGGGGTGGGGAACACAACGAAGCAGGAGGTGGGAAGAAAGACCAGAAAACCTGTCATCTGCCGCCGGATGGAAGGAGAAGGAGAACAAACAGGCTAAAGGAGACGAAGGATGGTACTGCAAGCATTTTTAGAATTCCCAAAATCAACATAAAAAACCAAGCGAATGAGAGATGGTGGCCAGACAACTAAGAAGAGCAAGGAAGTCGTCTCCTTGCTCTCTTTCTTTCCCACTCTTATTCTCGATTTCCTCCATCCCCCCTGTTCTTGGTGTGCGTGCGTGATCGCAGCCCAGACGCAGCAGCAGCGTCATCGGCAGAGAGGCAGGCAGTTCATGGTACCTGCACTATACACGTTGAGTTTATCGCAAGTTTCCTCTTCGGTTCGTGTTTCCTCGCTGCCTTTGCCTTCCACAGAGGATATCGACATTTCGCAATGTCATAAAAAAAGGACAAAGGTAGCTGCAGTTCAAAATTCAAGTTCCCAGGACTCTGCGGCTTGTTCGGCACATTGATTGCCAATCGGGACAGTCTGCTTTATGCATTTGTATATCCCTTTTGCAATTTAAATATTCACTCCTTTAAAAGGAAAAAACAAATGTAAATAAATAAAAATACATTTTAAAAATCCTGAGGTAAGACAAATAGAAATTCATCTTTTCAGATTTATAAAACTACAACTTTACCTAGAAAATATGCATAGAATTAAGGGCAAGCCTTACATTTAGCAGTTCGAATTTCCCATAGATCTCAGTAGGTTTAGATGCATTTTAAGAAAAAACACACCAAAACACTGGAGTTCTTCCTGGCTTTCATTTAAAATCTATGCTTTTGTTTTATTCATTTTCGTATCGCATATTATTTGTAATTTTGGTTCGCTCTACGCTCGAGGAGATTTGCATAATACGCTGTTGAGGGCCCGTAAAATGTGTCCGATGCCGTCTGTTGCCATCGTCCATATTGCTGATGGGTGTTGAGTTCACTGCCGTGCATTGGTGGTGGTTGCTGCGAGTCCTCCAAGGACTAACATCCCCTGTGTGCCCTGTGCCTAGTTTCATTTCATTTTCGTTTCACTTTTTTTGCTCTGTTGCTTCCCACTTTTATTGTTGAACTTTACAGCTGCCGCTCGTATTTATTTTGTTTTTATTTCTCTTACAACTTGCATTTCCCTTTCGCGTCCTCGTCATCGTCCTCGCCCTCGTCCTTTCTTCATTATTTTTGGCAAGGGTGGTTGGACTTGTATGGAACTTATATAGCGCTTTGTATGCGTCTGACTTTGATCCCCTTTTGGGGGGTGGCACGACTACGTCTACGTCTGTCTGGCCACCCCCTCGACTCGACAGAGCGGCATTAGGGAAAGTGTCTTGCAAATAAATAAATAGTCATGTCAGCCATATTATTAATGCCCAGGAAGGAAGGAAGAAAGGAAGGTAGCGCAAGGTTCACATGGGTGGTGGTGGGTGCATGGCGGGCGGCGCTAATCAACCCTCTGGGGGTGTGGCAAACGGAAAGGGGAACGCATCTTACCCCGAAAATCGAGCACATCAAATACAGTGCTTCCTCGAAGTGTGGATAGTTTAGTGATTTGTAATACTAAATTGTCATGAACTTTGATTAATATTATACATATTATATTATATTTTGTTATTAATATCAAATGGTTTATATTGCGATCCAAACTCTTTTGAAAATGTCTAATAGCAGATTTATTTCCATGCTGAATTCAAAACAATATGTATTCTCTAAAGCAAGGGTATTCACCTCGCCAAAGTAATCAAATAGAGAGGCGATTGGAGAGCGTTCACTGTACGCAATATATATAGGTACGTTCATCTACGCATTGCTGTCTGTTCGCGTTTGGGGTCAACAAACTTTTGGGCCAGCCCCCAGCATCACACGTACTGTACACATGTATTGGTGAGTGCGAAAAGTGAACGATTTTCCAGAGCAGAGCTCAACCCCCCCGTTTTTGAGAACCGGCGGACACTAGCACGTTCTACGCATTTTTGTGCATTGACCCCAGACAGACGGAAGCCCTCTCTTCCCCTTCCTTTCCCCATACAAACATTTTCCTCCCCTACATCGCACACACACACACACACTCACGTGTGCACCCTCACGCACATCTGTTTGTATAAGTACAATGGCAACCCTCGCTGATTTGATTTTCATATGTTGAATGGGAATTGAGGGTGACTATAGCTGTGCAATGGATGGATTTAACTCCCTGGATTTCCCCTCGTTCGTTCGCTTTTTCATTCCTACACCTTTATAGGCAGTTTTATGAATTTTTGTATAATATTTTTTTACGATTCTATATATTAAAATATGTATTCTGCAGTGGGGGCGCGCAAGTAAGTGCACAGTAAAAAATAATAAAACTAACAAAAAGGTCCTTTCTTTGGCATAAATATATTTAAGATATGAATAACATTTGTTTTATAAAATTAGATATGGTTAATAATAAAATATATCAGAAATTCGTTAGCTTTTTAATGTTATATCTGAAAATGGAAATTGTTTAGGTATAAGACCAATTTCAAATGGATATAGTTGGTATTTCTATTCACTGTGTAGACCTCTTCGATTACAGGTTTATGTCGCCATAAAGTCAAGAATCACCTTTAATTGCACGCTCTATA